TGAGTTATCCAGTGGTGTATTGTCTTTGAATGCATGCTGTGGGAAAAAAAATATATAGCATTGGAACTATCCATAAAATGTGAACAAATAAATAAGGAAAGATACCTATCCAGAGGAAGACATTTAGGTACAGAATTCAGAAATTTACATGCAGATCATAACTTTCATGATGACCAGGAAAGATCATTTATGACTAACTGATTTTGGCACCTGTAGGTCCAGGGTTTTCCTACTGCTGAGGAAGATGGTATGGTGGCCTGTTTCGCATGCTTTCATGGGCAGGGATGTGGCTCTTCTGACAGTTAACATGACTGGTACACACAGCTTTGTCTCCAAACTGACAACTTGCTTATCCCTAATAATTTTTAAAAAATGCTTTTTCTGGTGATCTAGTCATAATTTTGAGGGCTATTTTTTAAAAAGAAGAAGAAGGAAAGGAGGATAAAAAGGAGGAAGAAAGGAAGGTTTTTCTTTTTTTCTTTTTAATACTAAGATTAAGATGGCACATTTAAAAATCACCCAAATGACAGAATCTTTGGGAACTTTTTGTTTTGAGACATTTTCACAACATGGCTTTAGATGTGGAGCTTTCATAAGGTGAAACAAGCTCATGAAATTTAAAATCAGTATGTGTATCGTAAACACTCAGTAAAGGGTGTGTGGAGCATTTCCCCAAAGTCCCTCTTACCCAATGCCTTCCATTCCAGTGAGTGATTTCCATCCTGGGAGATTCTACTCTTTGAGGGCAGGTCAAGAATTTCTGCCTTTGCATCCTCCATAGCACCAACACGGTTTTTCAAAGAATAGCATTAATTGGATATTTGTTAAAATCAGTGTTATTAATGATTTTGCTTTTTATGAGGCAGTTTCTGCTTCTGTCCATGCCTGTAACCCAAGCCATCCCTAACCTCAGACTGACCCCTGGAGGACAGCTCACTCAGTTTGCCATCTTCAGGGCCCTGCGTGCACTGCCCTTCGCCCATTCCCTCTCCCCATCTAATTCCATCTGTCCTGGACCCTGTGCCATCCGAAATGCCTTCGTCAAGGGCAAATAGGACAGGCCAGGCACGGTGGCTCACGCCTGTAATCCTAGCACTCTGGGAGGCCGAGGTGGGCAGATTGCTCGAGGTCAGGAGTTCGAAACCAGCCTGAGCGAGGGCAAGATCCCGTCTCTACTATAAATAGAAAGAAATTAATTGGCCAACTAATACATATAGAAAAAATTAGCCTGTCATGGTGGTGCATGCCTGTAGTCCCAGCTACTTGGGAGGCTGAGGCAGCAGGATTGCTTAAGCCCAGGAGTTTGAGGTTGCTGTGAGCTAGGCTGACGCCACAGCATTCACTCTAGCCTGGGCAACAAAGCAAGACTCTGTCTCAAAAAACAAAACAAAAACCGAACATACTGCTCTGTGAGAATGAATATGGTGGCTGCTAATGGGTGGCTTCATTTTTTAGCCTTTCAGTTAATGTATTTATAACTAACTGGTTTTTATTAATAATAATGTAGCAACAATAACAATAGCTACCATTTATAAGCATGTCTGACATATAGTAGATGCAGAGTAAATATTGGCTTATTATAGTTAGCATGATACTGACCATTGTTACATTACATTGTTACACAATGACCGTAATGAGCTCATACTAGCCTGGGCTTTTTTATTTTTATTGTTTTTTATATTATCTCAAGAAAGTGACTGGAATTGTAGTTAATTTAGTCCAGGAGTTGATTTGGAGTAATGAGTCATTTACATTCTCTTTTTTAAAAAAGTAAACTGCCTATGTGTTTGTGTGTTTTTGTGCATCCACACATATGGCATGTTTCTCCTGATTTCAAAAGGAATTCAAAAGAATCGTAGAGTCAGTGGTTAAGTGTGTAGGCTTTGGTGTCGAACTGTCTGGATTCAAATCCAGGTCTGTGACCTTAGAAAAATTACTTAACATCTCTGGGTCCTAATTTTCTCATTTAAAAAAGGATAATTATACTACCTAACTCATAGGATTATGATTAAATGACACAATAAATGTCTATTGTGTTCATATTAACACTCTATTGTACATTGTTTATTTTTATTATGGTTGCTATTTTAAAAGAACTAGAAAAATGCAAAAAAGCAAAAATGTCATTTAATTCAATGATATAGCCACTATTAACATAAACATTGGGCCATATGTTTCTAGTTTTTCTATTCATATATATGTCTAAATATATTCACTTTTTATGAAATTAGAAATTATTATTATTTTGTTTTAATAATATATTTTTCTGTGCCCAGTATAATTTATTTTGTATATCACTTTATAATTTATTTTATCAATTTCTTTGTGCCCAATATATATTCTTACATATAGCTTTAATGGTTGCATTTTAGTCTCTCATATTGTATGTTCTATTATTTATTCATTGGACATTTGGTTTGCTTTGAATTTTTCACTACCATAAAAGTGATCTGAAGTAACCTAAATACACACCTTTTGGTACATATTTGATTAATTTCTTGGTATAAATTTATAGGAAACCATTTAGTAAGCTATAGAATATTTTAAAAAATTAATACTTTTGAAATAAACTGCCAATTGTCTTCCATAAGGACTTTAATTTCATTTCCAGTAATAGTATATGAGTTTTCTAGTTTCCACATAACCCTGCCAAGTCTGGGTGGTATGCATACATTTTTTTTTATATTATCCTATTAATGGCTTCTACACAAAATTGAGCAAGTCGTTTTAATTCTGAGCCTCAGAGCCTGTAAAATTAACTAATGGGTATAGAATTCAGAAATATCATCACAGATCATAAAGTTTATATTGATTCCAGAGCCCATTGATGTTCAACGTTGGAAGTGTAGTTCAAATGAGAAAGAACTATACTGAAGTTGAGCTAACACCAGGAAAGGCTGAGGGATGAATATCGGGGAGCATTTCTCTGGTAACGCCACGATTGTCCATAATGCCCCAGTACTGATCAGATGTGCAGATTCCAATTCAGAGAGTGATGTGGATTACAGATATAACTTAAATTTCTGATTATTTTTTATTGCTATCTATCCTGCTAAACTGCATGTTCCATGAGGGTAGGGATCTTTGTTCACTGATATTTCTTAAGCACTTAGTACAGAGCCTGATACATAGTAGGAGTTCAATAATAAATATTTCCTGAGTGGATAAATAAGCTGAATGATGCTACCCTATACCTGTCAAGTGACTGCATGTCTGGTAACTGGCAATATTTCCTCCCCTGGGTAAGTGTGGAGGAGCTGCCATGAATGAAGCCTCTTGCATTTGCCTCTTCCTACCTCTTTCTGCTGTGTCCCACTGGCATAGACTTTTAGATATTTAACACCTTCGGCCTGGTTAAGATACTAGAATCCACACTCTGAAAGCAATGTTGAGCCTCTGTGCTCTAACCCATTGGATTGGCTTAATAGGTCAACTCAGAGGGTAGTGTTCCTTTCCAGTTCTTCAGGATGTTGCATTGCTGCCCCTTTGGACTACCTAGAACAACTACCCCATGGGGTCATTGAGAGTATATTATATGAGATATCACACAAAATATAGAATCGATGTTCTGGGCAATAAAAAATGGTGGTTAAAAGCCCAGGCTCTGGAGCTAGACCCTCTCAGTTCAAATCTGGGCTTTACAGCTTACTAGCTGTGTCACCTTAAGCAAATTACTTAATCACGATGTGTTTCTCATCCAAAAATACAAATAGCAGCACTTACCTTATAGGATAGTGTATAGATTAAATGAGTTAAAATGTGTGAAGTAAAAGTAGTAAGTAAATGCTACCTGCTATTTTGATCATTATTAGCTTCGATGAACTCACTGAGAAGTTACTATGTTCTACACACCAAGTATATATTATTTCAGTTAATTCTGAAAACAACTCTATGGGCTACTATTATTATCCCTACTTCATGCATAAAAATATTGAGGTTCAGAAAGTTTGAGTAATACCCTAAAATCATATAGCCAGTAAGTGGCAGAGCCTGAATTTAAATGCAAGTATGTCTGAAATATTCTTTCATAGAAATTTTTCTCAATAGAATTTGAAATGTCTGCATTCTTGTTGACGTTATAATTTCTAATATCTGATTTTTAGGCTTTTTAGCCATGCTGGTGACCTCAGAACATTTTTCAAAAAATTAACTTTAAATGCATTTAAATATTAATATTTAAATATCCATTGGTTCAATGATCTATAGTTTCTGAAAACTCTTACAGTTCTTAAATTATACTATGGTCCAGTTCACTAATCTCTGTATTTCCTCTACTAGGATGTTAGTTAAACCCATCAGTCAATTAAATAATACAAATTAAAAATTAAAACCTGCAGAATGGCAAATGATATCCAAAACAGACAATTTGCATTCTATGGTGTAGGGATAGTAAGGTTATAAAACCTTTCCTTGAAAGATAAAAACACAGCCACTTCTGTATTCATTTTCAATAGTGAGTTGAAGTTAAACATTCTCTAACCTAACAGTGATTCTCTGCCTAAAGCGGAAGTGTCCTGACACCAGGAGTAGTGGAGACTCACCTATTGAAAATGACTAAGTGCCCTGCAAGCGGCCAATTTCCTTCTCATCACAGTGACAGACTTAAAATTTGAACTCTTTTCAGACACCCCCAGCAGATAAAACAAGGAAAACTGAAAAGCAATCCATTTACAGATGTCAACACAGCTGCTATATTTGTGGGCATGATTTACTGTGCCACATTTGATGGATTATTTTTTTATATCCTTGACATTTATCTTGTTTTCATTGAAATATACTATAAAGTGTTCTGTTACCTTTTGCCAGGTGAATGAACTGTGATATTTGGTAAAAGTGTCTTTTATAGGCGAGAGATTACAGTGCACAGAGAGCTAGCATGGCCTGAGTTGGCAAGAGAGTGGTAATTTTTGCATGATACACATTGGAATGTTAGTTATGACAGCATGGGTTTACACAGAGTTTAACTTGATGTTTGAAAATCTTATTTTTCTCTTCAACAGGCTAATTACGTATGGTTTTGTGAAGGGTATGATACATGCTGGCCAGTTGAAAAACGGAGACTTTCATTTCACTGACTGTTTATTTTTTGGTTCACTGATGTCTGCTACAGATCCAGGTAATTGCTCAAATAATATGTTTCCTTCTTTTAAAGACTCACACATTTAAATTGAATGTTTCTCCCAATACCATCACCTATGTCTATGTAATAATAATTCCTTATTCCTCTTGACTTGCAGTTGACACATCTATTAGTAACAAAAAGAAACAGGTGAATATTCTAACAGTGCTTAAGAAAGTGGTCAGAAAGCAATCTCAGTAGTGAGACAGACTCTGTAAAGTTATTGCAATTTATTTCTCTAGAACAGGTAGCCATTTGAGCTATAGTTCTTAATTTTTTCCATTGAACATATCCTATCTTCTTTCAAAAATGATCTATTAAATGACCTAAAATATTTTTAAAAATTGTTTACTAAGGAACTTTTAAAAATATATCCAAAGTAGGAAGAATAGTAAAAAGAATTGCCATATACTCTTCAGCAATGATCAAAGGTGGCCAATCCTTTTACCTATATCCCTTCTACAAACACACACTTCCTCTCAACATGAAATCTCAGATGTCATATCATTTAATTTGTAAAATTTTGAAAAATGATCATTGCCATTATAAAACCTAAAAATATTAACAATCATTCTTTAATAATATCAAAGATTTAGTCACTGTTCAAATATTCCCATTATTGTTATCATTATGGGTTTGTATAGCTGGTTGTATAAATCAGGATCCAAACTAGGGCTACACATTACAATTGATTGATATGACTGTTGGGTCTCTTTTAATGTATAAGTTTCTCCTCTATTTTTTAAATTTTCTTATTATTTTTTTTTAAAAGAGGTAATTTATCTTGTGATTACATTGAATATGGTTCTTTAAAATGTTCTTTATGCTCCAGTGGTTAGATCTACAGGCTTAATCAGATTGGTGTTCAACTTTTTTGGCAAGATTACTTTAAAGGTGGTGCTGTGAACCTTCTGTTGTATCATATTGGGAGGCAAATTGTGATTAGTGACTCAGCTGTCAGCCTGATCCATACCATTACTGAATTGCTACTCCAGCAAAGACCACCCGAACACACCTGTAGTTGAACAAGATGGTTTTACTACATGTTGCAGTGAAAAAGAATACTCACCATGGGGAACCATGAGACATCTCAGTGGGTGTTAGAAAGGACTTAACATAGGAGTTGCGTTTATGTTTGGTGATTTTAGGGAGGTTTTAAGAATCAAGGATTTTCTCTGAATTAGATGTCATTGGGAAGTAGGAATAAGTCCATAATTGGACATCTTAGTTAAGTCTCATTTGGAAGGAGGAAAGACTGAGTTGAGCCTAAAGCTACACTTGGTAAAGAAGCAATGGTCACTCATAATAGCCAGGATAGGGGGATGTTTGGGTCAGTTTTGTGGTTCGTACAATGTTCATTATTTGTGTTATGCATAATTAAGTAGAAGTCATGCTTTTGTCTTGATCCATCATGGTCACAAGTAAACTTGCCTAACGTCATTGTGTGATGTTGTTTATGTTCAGCAGGACCAGGTCCCAGCAGACAGTTTCAGGGCAGTCTTGAATGTCATGAACTGCTTTTCTCTTTCTTAGGATGGCCCTCAGACCAGCAGCATTGGCACCATAGGTTGACTTTTTATAAATGTTCAACCCCAGACCTAGTGAATCAGAGGCTAGAATTTAAGTGATTCAAATGCATATTAAGGTTTGAAAAGCTCTACATTTTAAGAGTTCCTTGTTTTACCTTATGGCATTAGTACCCATTGTTACTGCTTAATCCAGTATTTATTGGAGCTTATAAACTAGTGGTATGCTAATTCAATCGAACCTTTTGCATTTATTACCTTGTACTATCCTTAAGGAAGTAGTTTTCAAGTTCAATTATTGCAGTACCTGATGGTATAATTTCAACAACCAAAATAAAATAAAATAAAATAAAATAAAAACCACAGTGAACATGATCTATCCTTTACCTTTATTTACTAATTTTCAAAATAATGTGTTGTATAGCATCCTCCATATATTACCAATGAAATGGGCTTTTAAAAAAGTATCATTATGAACACAATGGATTTTTACATAGTTGATACATTTCAATCTACTGTTGTCATTATTCTTTTAGATAATCAAAATACTCTATATTTGGCAAATGGGAGCCTCTTCAAGTTTCTCCTATACACTTTTGCTATGATCCCAATAGTTTTTGATAGTTTTCCTACTTTTGTGTAGGACTAGATATTACGCCTTTGTATTGTATATTTCTTGCACCCTGACTTAGAATCAGCAACTTCTTCAAAAAGCCTATCTTCTTTCTAAGAGTGAAATTTATTTAGAGACAACAATCTGGGCACTAAGAGTTTACATTGCTGCTAGATTGGTCATAGTTTCCAGACCTTTGTCTTTAAGGACAAATTGTATCATATTATATTTTCATGTTCATATTAATATTTTTCAGTTAAAATTTTGTATTATAGGAATTTTACTTAACAGCTTTGAAATTTTATTTTCATTTTTCTTCTGCCTACTTTTCTTTTTCCAACACATTAATATACTCTCTTACTTGCTTAAATTAAATCTCTTACTTGCTTAAATTAAATCTCTTACTTGCTTATGATGATTTGAAAAATCATAATACACATATTATTCAGAAAAATATGGTAACTGAGAACTGATTAGGATTTCATTGTGGTCATTGTTAACCTTTGGATATATCTGACTCGTGATATATAGTTAAAAATTAGTCTGTTTTAAAATCACTTGAAATAATTCTTTTGTATGGTTAAACTACAAGTCAATACACAATAATATTCATTTGTTTATTTTGCTTTTAATTTTTGTTTTAAAATTAGATTAAATATCTATGGGATTCTAAAATGCAAACCACAAAACAAAATAAGAGAAATATAGCTTCTATCCCTATCCCCACTACCCTAATTTCCAACCATTTTGGTTAGATTTTACCTCACCCCCTCTATTTTTAAATTTAAGCAAATATAAAAACATGCACATATTCTATGTGCTACTATACACATGGTTCTTCACCTTACTTCTATTTGATTAACAATATTTTTTGGAGATTACTTCACAGCAGCATATAAAGATCTTTCTCTTTTTCAGCTGCAGTTTATCATAGTTTATTCAACCAGTCCTCTATTAATGGTCATTTAGGTTCTTTCTTGTCTTTTGCAATTATGAATGGAGTTGAAATTAATACACTTGAAATTAATAGCTTTTCACATTTTGCCAGTGTTTCTTTTGGAAAGATTTCTAGAAACAGATAAAGGTAAATATATTTGTAATTTTCTTCGACACTAAATTCCTCTTTATAAAGTTTGTACGATTTTGCATTCATACCAGCACCTGTTCTTCACAGTCTTACCAATGCAGTAGGCTAGCAAAATTTGGGAGTTTTATCCTCATGGTAGGTGAGGATTTATATATCCCTGTAGTTTGACTTAGTACTTCTCTTATTATAAGTTGAGCATTTGTTCATATGTTCAGTGGACATATGAATTTTTTTTTAAAACCAACTATTTATAAGGTGTCCTTTCCAGTAGAGTTGTTGGTCTTTTACATTTCAAATTTTAGAAGCCCTTAATATATTACAGTTATTAATTCTTTATCTTTACTGTAAGTCACAAAAATTTTCTTTAGTTTGTCATGTTTTATTTTGCTTATGGGTTAATATATAACGGAAGAGAATGAACTGAAAGTGGGTCTCAGGTGTGGAACCCATGGTGTAAATTAGAGCCCGAGTGTGGTATACAGGAATAGACTGCTCTATCCCCAGGGTGAGGGATGACCTGGCCACCATGTCATTACTGGAATATTTTACCTTAGGTTCATGCCGCCCTAGGGAAATGCAGAAGTCTCTTGGAAGCTTCTGGAAGCATGGACTCAAGACAAAGTATTTTTATCCCATTAGTGATTTGTCATTAGTTTGTTCTCTTCTGCCATACATGGGCATTCGCCTTTCAGGATCAAGTCTCATTTCAGGTCACCTTTGCACAACTCTGCAAGTTGAAAAGTACAGCATCCATTATTTCCTCGTCCCAATGCTGAAGGCTGAGTTTGTTGTATATTCTATTGAGTGACTCAGCTGGCTCTAAATACAATTGAGTTGTGTTCAAGCTTTGCTTCTTCTGTGGCTGCTGATATCCCTGAGGTTATGTTTACACTACACAGAAAAACTGATTGAAATGGGAAAAAAAAATCCAACTCAGTAAGATGGTTATTTATCTGCATTGTGTCAAACAACTGAGCTTATTGAACTTTTTCAAATACAAAATTGGCTCACAACCATAAAGAGAATACTTGGACCCAGGTCCGCTTTCCAAGTCTGGCACCGGCCAGCAACCACTTAGGGCAACCACTTAGCCTCTCTAGATTTTATGGATTCTTGGAAGTGGAAGATACTCTCATCTCTTTCAACTCCTTTATTTTACAGATGAAGAAATTGACTCCTCATCTGTAAAATGAAAAGTTTTAACTAGAGCTCTAATATCCTCCCAGCCCTAATGTTCCATGATTCTTATTTCTGTGAGATTGGTTTTTATTTTAAAGCAAGCTTTTGTTTTAAAGAAAGTAGAAGTCAACCCATAGCCTGCCACCCACATAGTCTGGGGTTCTAACCCCAACTCAACAAATGCTTGAGATGATCTCAAATAGTAGAAACCTGCACATGAACATGAACACTTAAATGGCCTTCTTTTACTGGGAGATAATTGTTATATTAAAACATGCTGAACCCACTCTCTGCTAAATTGGTGCAATTTAAGATCTTCAACAACCTTAAAACACCTAGTTAATCTTACCCTACAATTATTCATTTATTGCCTAAATTATCATGACTCACTAATTTATGAAAGAGAACCTATGCTCTCCAGGTCTGATATTTCTTGGCCTTTTTAAAATTAATTCTTTCCCATTTAGCCTTAGCTAAATCTTAGCTAGGTGTTATTATCTATTCGTATTTATCTTCTATAGATACACATTTAGACTTAAATCTAATTCTCCCTGCATGTTTCAGACTGTTCCTCAGCCAATTTTTCATTTAG